TTGATGGAACTTGTAGATATACACTGTTTAATTCAGATTCACAAAACCTCCATAATACTATCTAAAAGTCCTGAGCAATAGTTCTCCAGGTTTTCTTAATGTCTTTTTAAAGTTTTTTATTTTCTTTTTCTTTTTACTAATTTTCAATACTTTCCTTGTAACTTTACATATTTTCGCACCAACAAAGTGAGACCAATTAACCTAAACTTTGGCATATCGCAGCATGGTGTGCGGTGTGTCCTCTTAAAAAAAGTGCAAGTCTACAGCAGATGAAAAGTATTTAAAAGTCATGGAAAAAGTAAAAAGACCTGACACAGTAGAGATACATCGGGCTCTTTAGTTAATTCTTGAAATGGCCTCATTGGAAGGGTGGCTGTTAAGACGGCATTCCTAAGGAAGGACAACGAGGAGAAAAGGCTGAGGTGTGTGAAATTACATAAGAATTGGACTAAATAGCAACAGTTCATATCAAGTGATTAATCCATATTTTTAGTTCAAATGTCAGTGTGCACAGTAATGAACAGGAAAGAGGTACAACAGTGAGTGTCTACAACCACTGGTAAAACACAGTGGTCATGGTTTGGTGCTGCATTACAGCAAATGGTGTTTGGGATCATGTAAAAACTGATGAATATAGAATAAACAAAAAAACTAAAGAAAACTAAAAAAAAAAACAAATTACCAAAAAACATCCTAAAAACGGATAATGAAGTAAAATTATACCTTTTTAGAAAAAACATACATTGGAGTACTATCAGTCATGGACTGGATTCCACATAGCTCAACCTCAACATTACTGAAGCAGTGTGGGATCACCTTGACAGAGAACAGAACAAAAGGAAGCCAGCATCTAGGGCTGGGCCATATCATACCGTTCACGGTAATACCGGTATAATGTTTGGCAACGATAGAAAAATGAAATATCGCGATAGAATATGGGTAAAATGCGCATACGCAGTGCCTTTGTTTTCATACGCACATGGCGGAAAAAGCATGGCGGCGAAAGCAGATCGTCGAATGAAACAGATAAACCAGAATTGGTTTGTAAAAATGCTGCAACTTCAGTGATGTGGAACTGGTTTAGCTCTCGTCCGTCAGATACACAACAAAGCGCTATTTTTGGTAGAGCATGTTAGCGGTCTGTCGTTATTACCGTGTTTTTTGGAAAACATTGCACACTTAAAATCAATCCTTTGATTTTTCTGAAAATCGACAGTGTGCCTATAATCCCGTGTGCCTTATGTATGAATTCTGGTTGTGTTTACTGACCTCGAAACAGTATTATGTGGTACATGGCGCTCGAAAATCTGTCAAATGTTTTAGTACGACTTTGTTAAGCCACGAACCCGCACAGCTTGATGGATTGTCGGAGCATTACGGCTATCGTAGGCAGGAGCCTTGCGGAGTGATACGTACTGTGCTACAACATAATATTACCGTATTGTGTGTGTATAACCTCTTTTTAAGTTTTGTGGATGTTATACTTGGTTATACTGAGAATATGTCGGCCAATTTCCACTGGAAATGCCTTATGGTTAAACTGTCAGCAAGGATTTGCATTTGCACTGTTACATTTTTATATAACTTTGATGCACATAAAAAAAGCTGCTTGTTTAAGTGAAAATACATTGATGGTTTTTTTTTGCACTAATAAAGTTGCAGAGTTGTAAAGTATTTTGTCATTTATATCGTCAGTTATATCGTTATCGCAAATTTTCAAATGTATATCGTGATAAATATTTTTGGTCATATCGGCCTGCTCTACCAGCATCTAAAGGAGAGCTTTGAATGTCCTTCAAAAAGCTTACCTAAGAGAGTTCAATCAAATATTGACTTTCAAATATTTTAGAATTCTACAAACTCTGTGCCTTATATGTACGTATGTTTGCACGTCTTTCAATTAATCGCTGCACTTATGTTTCCTGACAAAATATAAAGAAACAAAGGGTGGATCAAACTTTCCATAGCACAGTACATTTTTGCAGTACAACTTCATTTGTATTCAATGCTACTCATGAATAGAAAACAGACTGTCCTCAGGCTCATCTGATCAATCTACCACCGCTGTTCCCTAATGAGAATGATTCACAATGGGGAATGAAGTTCACAACAGCAAGATATATCGCTTGCAGACAAAAATGACATGACATTAAAGGACCTGCACATGTCTACACATACAAATACAAAAGAATAGCATCAGACGAATTCTCTATGGTGCAAGAATTATTTTGTGAGTTGGCCTCTGCTTAGGGAACAAATCAAACAGGTGGCAGGCGACTGTAAATGAAATGAACATATTTTATTGCTACCATCAGATCAAGCAATTTACTTTGCACGTGCACAATGAGCTTGTTTATATTATCAAAGTAGATTTTTAGAAATGGGCACACCCACATATTAGACATAGAATGAAAGAGAAGAATGCTTAAAAAACAAAAGAAAAACATGCTGTATGCTATTATTACTGATACAAAACATCCTCAGAACATTTGGTAATTGAGTTTGGTGGGCTCATGGCTTCCAGTGCTTTCTCAAAAGATGCTGTCCAAACCCATTATTCAGATCTTCTAGCAATGAACCATCTATGAACTGCATTGCCAAGGGATAGGGAAAAAAATGGATTCAAAGCTTTTAAGGAAATTCTTCCCTCCCTCTCTTTCCTCTCTTCCTCATTTGGTTTCTTTTCAGAAAAAAAGGAGCTGGCTTCAACCTGCGAGCTGCAAGCTTTGTAGTTAGGTGGTGGTGTAATGCTGCAGAGCCAACAGAATTTCACCGTGTCACTTTAACCCAAATGGTTTTTGTTCTGCTGAACTCTGCCTGAGTGCACTGAGTTATTTCCTCTCCCTCAACCCCAGGGCAGCGGCCGGCACTAAAGCAAATAGAAAATCTAAAACCAGAAGTGAGTGAGATGGCATAGCACTGCAGGCACGGACAAAGAATACTACACACACAGATTCAAAGGAGAACTTCAACACTTGGTGAGATCAGTTTTCTTGCTAAAAATGAAAACCCTGCCATTACTCTTAAATATATTATATAAGCCTAGAGAAGGCAGCAGGTTAGCCAAGATTACCATGAAGTCAGAAACAAAACTATTCAATTTGCTAAATGAAGAATGTTAAATACCTCCCAATGATTAAGCACATATATGCACTTCAATAAGGAGAGATCAATTTGAAGAACTGAATATGATTTATTGAGACACAGAATTAATTTAAGCTGTTTGGCGAAGAAGATGAAGGCTTGGATGATGCTTTGAGTGACCAGAGTGAGACAGAGATGGGGAGGAGGCAGGGTGCACGAATGAGAGTCTGAAAGGCAGAATGACGCACAAGCTTCATTGCATTTCAAAAAAAGAGGTGGCTGTGGTTTAGGTGGTGGAGCAGTATCATGTACCAATCAGAAGGTCACTGGCTTGATCCCTGAGTTCTCAAGTGTGCTTGCCAAAGGATCTTTGGGCAAGATACTGAACCCTGAGTTGCCCCAATGTATCCATTGGAGTGTGAGTGTGTGAATGTTAGAAAGCACTTAGACACAGATAAAAGAATTGTATAAATGTGTGTGTGATTGGGTGAATGAGACTTATTGTCAAAAGCACTTTACGTGCTCAGCTTGAGTAAAAAAGCTATATAAGCATCAGTCCATCACATGTCTAGACTAATCTTCAGCATCTTTTATTCAAATGTAAAACAACACAACATGTAACGGCGAAGGAAAACAGCTGTGTTCTTTATATCAAGGCTCAATTCCACTGCCTCTGAGGTCTTCCACCTAAACATGCTTATCGCATTCAACAGACAGAAAAGACTGTGACACATGCTTTTGTCTCAGCCCACGTCCACCACTCCTACTACTCTCTCTCTTTCCATTCCCCCCCTACTTTTGAGCACACTGCTATTGTCAGGGACGTTTCCAGAACAAACAAACTGGTATCCACCAATTAGTGCTGTCAGCCTGTGCCCTCTGTGAACTTTTCTGTTTGCTAGAAAATATATGAGCTTCAACAATGTGACAAGAAAGGCCAGGAATACTGGAGCTCTGCTCACTACAAATGCTCAGAATGTCGGCATGATACTGTAGCCTGGGAAAACTTCCAGCGATACCCGTGTTGCTCCCAGAGCTAAACACCCTAAACTCAGAAAAATTATGGTTCTTAAATGGTTCTTCAGATGGCTTCATGGTTCTTTAAAGAACCATCATACGTCAAAGAACCTTTTTATTTTGTGGATGGTTCTTCAGCTATTACAAATGGTTCTTTAAAGAACAAAAGGTTCTTCATCCTTAGCAATCTAAGTTTGATGGTGTAAATGGCATAAATATTTATTCACTATAATGAGGCTGTGAATTATACTGTGTGTTTTCTTTGTGTGCATGTGTGTGCGAAGGGGGAGGGCAGGTTACCTGGCAATTACCCTTTAAGAGAAGATGGTAGGAAACTGAATATTCAAATAAAAGTTAGAAATATTTGCTTAAAAATATACTGGTGGCAGGGTGGGGGTCAAAGCCTAAAGACCCTAACCCCCCCCCCCCCCCCCCCCCCACACACACACACCCCTAACCCCACAAACACATTATGAATATGGTGAGTTAACAAACAGTAGACACAATGCACACATTCAAATACTGTACTTTAGTTTTAAATTTTAATAAAGCATTACCATTTTCTACTCCAAGGCATTACTTTTGAGATTATTATATATTTTTGAAAATACAGCATAATGATAATACTAATTATTGTAAACTTTACAAACCACCCAGCAGTATGTAAAGTCAAATTACAAGATACAAGTAAATAACAATTGCAGAACAGAATGTCAGTGTAATGAACACACACTTCGTTTTGACAAATCACAACTTAGGTAAATGATCTGAGTAGTTGTTCATCACTGAGCAATTTGTTAATATGTGTTTCGAGCCAAATAAATGACAGGGAGAGAGAGTGACGTCAGAACACGTCATACTATAACCTCCCGGGAGCGGACTTAGGGGGTCAGTCGTTGGGATGCGCATGCGCAGACAGAGTGTGCGAGCGGCGGGCCTTGACCTTTCGGGAAAAAAAACTCACGGACGGTGACAGCGAGGCGGATAACAGTCTTCAGTACCTGCTGGACTTTGAAGCTGTGGATTCTGGGACTGTTAGAAAAGGTAAAACATTTCCATTAAAACCTTATTACTGTTTTGTTTTTGTTACTCGTCATTGTAGCTTGCTGTTAATGTTGTGCTAACAGTAGCGATTAGCTAGATACGTTAGCCGTTGAGGTCAGCGCAATTTAGTATCCGGTATACAGAAACAGTTTTCCTAACAAAACCACTGTTATAATTAAGTGAAGCTGCTCCCAGCTAATTTGAACCTTTGGCTTCTAAAATATGTGGTTCAATTGCGTGCTGCGTACATAACCTAATGTCAGCTAGACCGAAATTAAAATTTAATATATTGTTAAAGTCACTAAAATGGCGCCTGAAGCCTGTTGTGAGCTCTGTGTCTGCTCTAGAAACTCTGAAAGTCTGTAGATCTGAGCCGTACATTAAATACTCACATGAACCTGTACTTTGAATTCTGTATGAGCTGTATAAAATACAGCTATGCATAAGAGTTTTGAATGAATAATTAGATTAGATAACTCTTTATTGTCTAATAGAATTATATAGAAATGAATAGAAAGTGGTTCTTTAGACTGATGCCATAGAAGAACCTTTTTTTGGTGCCACAAAGAACCTTTCAAACAATGGTTTCAAACATGAGAAGGTGTGTCTTTGACTGTTCCTGCATAACTTAGTTTCGGACTAGTTGACAAGTTATGCTCCGGTCATTTGATGTTTCCAAGATAGATGTTCTTTTGTAATATAGTTAAATTTTTTTGTATATTTCATTTATCCACCATCATACATCATACATACAAGCTAAGAAGAGGTCGTTATACTAACAAGAGGTATCAACGCTGGGCCAAAGTTCAGCACATGGTTAAAGTTTGTAATCCAGCCAGGGTGTAAATATCACTCAGCAGCCAGAGCTGAAGCAGGTAGCATCAACACATAAATCTACTCTACCCGGCTTAAATCACAAGAGCACCTCTGACCAAAAAGCTGATTTTTCTTGTTTGCACAAATTAATCCAGATTCACATTAACTGTGTTCACAGCTCCAACAAAATGAGGAAGAGGAGGGGCAGAAACACAATTAGATGGAATTACAATTGGATGGAAGGCGAGGACAAGAAGAAGGAAGCTTAGGATGAGGAGGAAGAGAAGCAGCAGGAGCATCTTTAGGGATCCCTATGATGTCATTGAGGTTTGTTTCATTAATATGGTCCTCTCACAAAGACCGATGACATGTTTTAGTTCACGTACTTCCTGTATTAAATAGTGATGTGCAAAATGTTGTGAAAAACCATGGAGCAGGTACGTATAGTGCATCTGCAGGTAAATGAAAATCAAATCTCTAAGACAGACTGAAATCTGTATATTTATCACCCTTATGATAAAACCCATGTCAGCCATTGGTTTATGGACTTTGTATTTTGAAGCCTCAGCATTTGCATTATTGCTGTTGCTATGTTGGGACCATATTAGGATGAGGGATCAGAATCTGGAGTCATGCACACTATTATTTCATTTAGTGTGTATCCATAAGATTCGTACAGCAGATCCAAGTTGTGCCTTGAAAACAGGAAAGTCGTCTGCATAGAGGAGAACTGTAATAGCAGGCTTGTACAAAGTGAGGCTTTGTGCACTCGTTTTACTTCTGTCACCCTGTTTTGATGCAGATTTCACTTGAAATCAGGCAAGAACTGGACTTATTTTTTACAATGTGTTCTTGTGAATTGATTGTGTATCGCATATGTTTGATTGATTTGACTTTCTGCAAGACAACAGTCGTCCACTGGCCAAAACAATTTTCCAAATACCTCCACGTGATCAAGCCTGGATTTAGAAAAGAATAGCAAAAAAAATCTGCACCTCCTGCTTCAGATGCAATTTGTGTTTGTGTGTTCAGAGGCAGCGGCGAGAGGGGAGACCTCGGGTCATCCAGCTGGAGAGCCTGACCAGGAGGAGTCGAACATTAACTCAGCTCTTCCAGGGCACCCTGCAGACTCTGCTGCTGGCATCGGCGAGGGATGACGTGAACGCCAAACTGGAGTCCATCACAGGTCAACTGCAGGTATGCGAGTCAGACCTTCTGAGGAGGGTTTCACTTTTCTCTCTTCTTTATAATTGACTCTTTTCTCTCTCTTTCAGCTCCTTGTCTCAGAGTGGGAGGGATTTGAAGCACAAAGGGAGGAACTTGTCGTTTGGTTGGCTGATATGGATGTCCGCCTGAGTGAGGTTGACCAGCTGACAGGAAACACCAGTGAAAAACTGAAACAACTGCAGGTGTGGGCTTGTTTTGATATGACATATATTTGATATGAAACATACGTCAGAGACATTGTCCTAAACTGGACTAACAAAGGGCCATGAGTACAACATGAAAAGTACATTACAGAGCGTAAGGCTGAAGTTCATTGATCATTTTAATCATAAACTTGTTGTTGAAATGTTTTTACTGAACATGCAAACATCTGCTGATGAAAATGTGTTGATTTATTGGTCTGTTATGAAGCTATTTCTAACGTGTTTTATCACTTTCTGATGTTTTATTAATTAAACAATACATGTATTATTTGTTGTGTTATCTGTAGATATAGTATTTATATATATATATATATATATATATATATATATATATATATATATATATATATATATATATATATATTAGTATAGCCAATATATTTAATTATTACTGTTTAAAACACTAATATGTGACATGTATTAGTAGTGATGTTGTGCTGAGGGTTAAAATGCCTTTTTGTCTTTTGGTAACTACAAAATGACAATAAACCATTAATATATGTCTATGCTGTGCTCGTATTTATTTTACCCTACTCAAATTCAATTTATGATGCATTTTATTTTGAAAGATTTAAAATGGTTTTTTAAAGAACCACTCAAAGGTTCTTTAAAATGGTTCTTTTAAAGAACCATTTGAAGAACCATTTTTAAAAAGGTTCTTTGAAAAACCATTAAAGGTGCCCCAAAGAACCATTTCTTGATGGTTCTTTGGGGCACCTTTAATGGTTCTTCAATGAACCACTGAAAGAAATGGTTCTTCAAAGAACCAATGTTTGAAAGGTTCTTTGTGGCACCAAAAAAGGTTCTTCTATGGCATCAGTCTAAAGAACCACTTTTGGTTCCAGTTGGCACCTTTATTTTTCTGAGTGTAGGTATGATGGTAGTATTTTGGGCTTTCAGAGTTAAGTTGTGGTTTGCACATTCAGAGAGAATTTGTTAGCTTGCCTACTACAGTCTGGTTTAGCAAAGTACTTGCCCCAAGCTCAACTTAATGCAGCCTTCTGCAGTGTGTGGCACGTAGCAGAACCTCACAGGCATCATTTCCTCCCTCTTGCCTTTTTCAGCTCATTGCACACATGCAGCGTTTAGGGTAATAAAGGCAACTTAATGTAAATCAGCCACAAAGTGAGTTGTGTAAATCTAAGAATTAGAGGATGTAAAATGTGACAAGGATTTTTTCAACTTTTGCTGAGTATACATAAAGAAACAGTAATGCAGAGCAGCGGGAGCCTACAGTCAAACTTAAAGCTCTCCATCTACTGTCATTATTAACAAAGGCTGGTGAGCTATGCAAATGAAGAAGTCAAACTGTTCATAACCTATGTGAATGAACACATGTTGAAAACCCTCTTCTCTGTTTTTCCTGTGACATACTAATCAGCTGAGCCACTTTGGTGCTTCTAGTGATTCAGTATAAGGAAAACTGCTCTTTAAGCAGGAAATGTATAAAACACTATCTGTGTCAGGCCTGGGCAGTCATGGACTGGTGATATTATATGTATTTTTGGTGTTGCTGCTGCTCTTTTCCATGCTTGTAGATGTGAGTGTGTGTGTGTATGGGTGCAGGTGTGTATGTACACTGGTTTACAGGCGCATTCAGGCCTGGTGGGTGTGGCCCTGCTAGGGGACTGGCCACACCCGAAGCTACACACCTGCCGCTGATCAGGGCTCGTCGGGGGAGCTACTTAGGAGAGTCTTGGAGCTCCCACCAACGCTAGATCATTCCATGAGACTCCACGTTAGTCTTCTGGTTAGTTAAGTCTGTGAGTGTATGCCTACTGGAATTAAGTGTCTTGACGGCTGCCTCTGTTATTTTCCCCTCAGGAGAAGCATGGAACATCGGAGGGCTGCAGGCACTGGTGTGTGTGGACACACGAGAGTGGAGAACACGGAGCACGGACTTTTTGGGAAGACACGACACGGGAGAGCACGGGGATTTACTGTTATTGTTTTATTCAATGTAAATAAACGCACTGTTTATACACAGAGCACCGCGCCTGGGTCCTCCTTCCCCACATCCCCACGGTCTGCCATGCCAAACCGTGACAATCTGACTTTTTTGTGCCTTACATCGAGACTTTAGTAAACCAAAGTGCTCCTCTTCCGAGTAATCAATAATTTACAGTACTGTGTAAAAATCTCAAGCCACTGTTATTTGTGTTTTGGAAAGTAAGTGCAGGGATTTTTTTTAAAATGTGCAAACATACTTGGAAATACTGTATATAAGACAAAAAAAAAAGAGCTTGAAGATCAATATTTGGTAGGACCACCTTTTTTTTTTCAACACAGCCAGAACCCTCTTAGACAAGCTTCCTTCTCATTTCTGAATAGTTGTCCAGGCTTCTTAAAAAACATTAAAAATTCTTCTTTGGATTTTGGCTGCCTTTTATTCCATTCTGTCAAAGATGATCCCACACGGCTTCAATAACGTTGAGGTCCTGGTTTTGGGGAGGCCAATCTATGACTGAAAGTGTTTCATTCTGTTTCTCTATCCAGGTATGTGCTTTCTGCATTGGCAGTGTGCTTGGGATCACTGCCATGCTTAAAAATGAAGCTGTTGTCAATCAGATTTCCCAGATGACATTGCATTGTGTTGTGGCTCAAAATAAGATGCTGATGAGTTCATAATTCTGTCAATTTTGACAAGATCCCCAACCCTACAGGCTGAAATGCAGCCCCAAACAATGACAGAGTTTTAGGTCTGTCAAACTGTGTTATTGTCAGAATAGATTAATTTCTATGCAGGGGCGGATCTAGAAGGGTGGCATGGGGTGGCAAGTGCCACCCTAAAATGATCCCTTGCCACCCTAGTTTTGCATATGACAGTGTTGTTTATTAAAATAAGATAGCATTAACACTTTGAGCGTAGTTACAGTCAACAGTGAATATAAATGCTAAAACTGAAAATATTGCAAAGTTTTTAAATTTGAATTACAGGCCAGTAGATCCAGAGTTATGATAATATATATAAGCCATGCTTTTTTTCTAAATACTGTGTCATGTTTTGTGTGTGTGTGTGTGTGTGTGTGTGTGTGTGTGTGTTTTTTAAGCATTTTCTAAGGAAAGCGTGAAAACAGTAAAGAAAGAAAAAAAAAGTCACCGCTTTCCTATCGATGGAAAAATGTACCATGTCGACCAATTTTAAAAAAAAGTCAACATGTGGGATTTGGTTTTTTGGGAAGAGGGGAAAGTTTTGAGAGTGATGTTAATGCCAGCTAGACAGAGCGAGCGAGTGTGAAAGAGGCAGAGAGAGTTTTTAGATATAGGAGATTTGTCTCTCCAGGATCCTCCTTTGGAAAGGGAAGTGACGGACAAGGTAAGCGACCCATGTTGTAGGTGACGTCAGACGCCGGAGATTTTGGCGGAAAAAAAGCAAATGGTAGCATAGAGTTTAACAAAGGTTTTTCAAGCTTCAGTATTACCAAATATACTAATCAATTGTCATAACTAACAACATCTGTTTTATCATCTCTAACACCCTGGAGGACAACGGGGAGAGTTTAGACGCTCTCCAAGATTACATCGACCGCTGTTTTCAAGATTTAGTAATGAAGAAGGCCCAGAGTGCATCTTCCCTGGCCAAAATTGAGACGCCGTCATCGAAGAGATGTCGCCCGGCAGACTCCCCCGGTACAACATCGCCTGCCGGCAAAGACATCGCAGACATCCTGGAGTCAATCGACAAGCGATTGTCCAGTTTCGATGCGAGGCTGTCCCTGGTGGAGATTTTACGCCGGGAATTTAAATCTCTGAGAGAATCCCTGGAATTCAGCCAGCAGCAGGTGGAATCGCTTGCCGCTGAAAATGCCACGCTACGGGAGTTGGTAAAATCTCTCACCGATAACGTGACCCAGCTAAACATTGAAAATAAAAAAATAAAAGAGTCCGTTATCGATCTACAAGCCCGTAGCATGAGAGATAATCTTGTGTTTTCTGGTATTCCAGAAACTGCCGGAGAGGACGCAGAGGCAACGGTGAAAAGCTTCATCAAAATCCACCTGAAGCTGCCGGAGGACACCGTAAAGAACATCAACTTCGATAGAGTACATCGCTTGGGGGCGCGCGGTCGCGGACCGGGAGACCACGGCCTATTGTGGCCAAATTCGGTCAATTCAAACAGAAGGAACAGGTGAAGAGTCACGGCAGAGAGCTGAAAGGAACGGACTTCAGCGTGAACGACCAGTTCCCCAAAGAGATCCTGGAACGACGCAAGGTCCTGTTCCCAGTTCGACGTAGCTTCATCCAGAAAGGCTCCCGTGCTGTCATCGCCGTGGACCGGCTCTACGTGGACGGACAGCTGTACCCCGACCCCGGCACCACACCGTGGTTATATTGACTGCACTCCAGATAAGAACCCACTACACTCTTTTCTTATTCATTCACACTTTCCCCTTTAACATGGGTTTAACCTAGTAATATCAATATGATGTCATAGCAGATATAACACCGTCACCCTCCGTCATTGCTTTAATTGGAATGTTTCCGTTTCGTTTCTTTTTTGTTGTTGTTGCTCACAGTTCAGGTGGTTTCTTTCTTTCTCTTGTCTTTCACTGCTGTGGTCACCTACTTCCCCACTTACCTACAAACAACACCCTCTATTTCTCCATATTTTCA